ATTTCCATTGTTCTAGTTATACAAAACGTCTAATATTACTACAGAGTGAGGCAAATATTACTTCCATGATATAGTGGTTAGTTTGCAGATAGATCCATGTACATGTATCTCATTCTGTGAAGTTTTCGCTAAAGTGGTAAAAGACCTGCCTTATTTAGGATTTTCCTCCCACATAAAGCTGACGAGAGCCAGGCAAGGTAACAACAAGTACCATATTTTAACTAACACCACAGTGGTAAATGTCTATGACCTGCCTTACTTCGGGATTTCTTCCCACATTAAGCTGACACGACGTGAGAAAACTGAAATATTTCACACACTCACATACTCACTCACCAATAAAATCAGAGACTGTGACCAACTACACATTATATTGACGTGAACATTCACGATCCTGGTTTATACAAACTCTGTGTGCCCGAAAGTCAATATTGCATTGACCACATCTTATTAACACTCGTGTACATGCAATATTAGCCGATCCATAATTCTATGGATATTCACATGTAGAGGAATTCCTACCCAACCATGTCTGGCACTATCAAACAGGTTCCAGATCTATTTCATCCTCTTATTAACGCCCTATCTACCTGTCCAGCGAAGGCCTAATACCGATTAATCAATACGAGATGAAACTCGTTGACCGCTGAGTGACCGCTATGGTAATCTCACTAATCCCCTTACAAGTGTCCATTCATCATGATATAATCACTATCTAACACTACCTTAAGTCTGATCTCTCAGAATACAATGATCAAGCATTACTTCTCATTAAAAGGTCTTCTCTTAAATTAAATCACATTGACGTATACCCATAGAACACAATCAACTGCAGTTCATATACAAAATACATGTCACTACATAGCAGTATGCGCGCTTAATATATTCATATTTAACGAAAAACCTAAGGGGGAGACACCATAACCTTGTCTTACACCAATTTTGTATGAAATATAACATGACGTTTACGCAGAACATTATTGTCATAATGTAAACTGATATCAATCAATCTGAAAGAGTGCGTAACAGAATAATTCTATGGTCTGAGGCGAAATACATAAAATAGAAAGTGAACAGTGATAAAACACAAGTCTTGAAGCTAAAATAGATGGATGCCTCGGCTACCCACGTAACGAGTATTTGTCAGTACCCACACCTGAGCCCAGTATTTGCGATCCCCAATTATTCAGGGAGGTAACTGGACAGAACAGGTGCCCGACATGTGTGAGATAACGTATTGTAGTGACGTTTACCGTGACATTTGTGCCGTTGAATGTCCGAAGACCAATTATTTTGACACTTTGTCATCGGTCGCAAGTAGACCTTGTTATTCTCAGATTAAGGCCTTTAACAGAAAGTAGCAGTCTTGGTCTTGCATCGTTTGAATTCGCAAAACATAATTGGCGCGATTTGGTGAGAAATGCAGAGCCTAAATAAAGAATGTTAAGTTGTGTGAATGGGTGATACTGGTGGTGAAGTGTTTCATGATGAATCTTCTGAAAACCTCAGAGTGTCTAGTTCACTCCAGTTGTTTTTATTGTTTAAAACAGGTCCATGACGAGAATATTGTCGCAAATCATTGACAACTATTGTGACGTCGTTCTAACAATATCATACACAGTACTCCCCTCGACTTTCTGGTTTTTTCCAAGAAACCTTTTATGGGAAATATGAATAATAACTGAAACTAGTAAGTATAGATTAACTACCCAACGTTACAAAACTAACTCTCACCGGGCAAATAATGATCAAATTTTCATAGCCCTCCGATAATGATTGTTTCATAACACATTAATGCATGTAGAAATAACGGCATAGCCTCTTAATCCAAAAATACGGATATATTAACAGTCTTAACGATCAGGCATACATACCAGGAAGTACCTATGGCCAAACTTATTTCACGATTTCTTGCCATTTGACATCGTGAAACAGAGAAAATACATCAGAAAAGGCTATGAAAACTCTCTCTAACCCTCGAAACCTCTGCAAGCCCTTAGATTTCAGTCTGTTGAATGACACCTTAAAGCCTAAACTATCTGTTTTCCCTTTCATGACCCATGTTGCCAAACAAGCATAACCCTACACATACTTCCAACACCTTCACGGGTCACTCTTGACCAACACTGACCACAACACAATCGTTTCCTTAAGACTTAACACTGGCCTCTAATCACCTTGACCACCTTCTAGCGCTTCACAGCTTTTAGTCAAAGAAAAGTGACCAGATCGTAGGATGGCTTCTCTAGGTCTTCGTTCCAACCCAAACATTTCCTACAAAGCGTTATGACTACTCTTCGGTGGAATTTGGCTTATTGGCTTGACTATCTGGCTTGGTAACAAGGTGGTGTTAAAGAGTTTTGGCAAAGGCCGGGCTACGTTAATCCAAGCCTAAAAGTGACTGGGTTTTGCATCAAGACACCAACATGTCTGGCATATTTCTCTAATCTGTAAAGCTACCGTTCCTTGCAGTCTGCTATGTTTCTACATGATCTTTTCAAGCTGGTTGGTGTGTCTCCGCCCGATGACTTACAAACCTGAGTAAACTCTCTTTTTTTCACCGGAAGAAGGCGAATTTTATTCTGTTTAAGCACGTGTCCTTACTGTAAAAAATGAACATTTGGAGATTCGTGATTTATGCTTGGAAACGAGCGGTAGTTTCGTCTTCCCGTGACGACGCTGTAGTTGTGGACAGCAAACAATGACGTCGCTCTACACATGTTCAAAGGAACGTCGGCACCTATCAGCTACTGAATGGAATATTTCAGGGGCTATTTAGGGTCACTGCTGATCGTATATTAACTGACGGAATACACCGGAAGACCGAGATGGAGGACCAAGTAGGCGGCTTTGTACACAACTATTTTTCAACCTCACGGGTACGATCGCGGTAACGAACGAAAATCTTAAATGTAAAACGCGAGTTATACTACAAGCATCAGATTTGTCAATTCCACATTCACTATGTTAAAAGCGCGAAACCATTACCCAACTTCAAATCATTGACACACAATTGCTGTTTAATCTTACTACTTAAGATATTCCTCTTCAAAAGACAAAACTGGTTATTGCCGCTGCATGGCATGTTCATAACAAAGAGAAAATAAATCTCCTCGAAAATATAAGTTACGCTTACACGTATGACGAAACGCACTGAGAAAGTACAATGTGTGTACCTATTAACCGTACATCAAACATATATCATATCAGCTGTAACACGCTAACATAAGTGTGGTGTGAGCCAAGGATATTGGCTATGCCCGCGGACATTGGATACTCGTTAATTTAACCCCAACCTGAATGAAAACGTTAATAAGTCTAAAATTAAGTGCAAATCCTCTGTTGCAAATTAGGTCTTTTGTCCACAGAACAAAGCCATGTTTGCACAATGCACATTCACAAATTAGAGTTCACATGTGTTGTAACAAAACAATGGATTTTTAGCCTTTTAATTACAGTACTATAATCCCTTTAAACCTTTTATATCGCTTTACAATACGCGGATATACAGACTACTTCAGCAAATTCAGGGTTACAGTGGCATGTAAACGCTTGACAGAGTCTGGACTAGTTTTTCTCGGGCACACGCTGGGATCTGATGGGTAGTTTCAGTAAGCCCTGTCATTCAATTAAGCTCTCCCCTTTTTGATCGGCTCGTGTTGGAAACAGTTGTTCGGGTGAGGGGGTGTAGTCAAGGGGTACGGACTGAGCATCTGATATATGCATATATCCGTTTTGGCCAGGTTACGTTTTCACGCCCTCTGGGACTACTCGTAGAACACATGCGTCTGTATTTTCTTAACGCCGCTCACGTGTAACATATATTATCGTGTGCCTTGTGTTGGTTTAGGGGCAATATGTACTCTCTTTGTATTTGTTGTAACAGCCAAGCTATGTCCATGTCAAGTTCGTATGTAGCAATCGACAGGCCACGAACATAAACAATAAAAGTATAAACTGCAACTGGCGTTATTTATGTATGGAAATCTAGTCAACTGACAGGCTTTGACCTGTTGATAGACTATACACGTATACCTAGTTACTACTGACAAATACTGTACATGCAAGAAGATATGTGGGTGTATGGAATGCAGTTGTCTAGTATGTACGTATATGAGCCATGAATGTATAGCTCTAATCAATGTAAAAAATGACAAGCATTATGCATGCACTAGTATAGAGGTACCTATGCAGCATACTTATCAAATATATACCTATATATAAACACATGGCAGTGTATATATGCACATATGCTTTCACTAATGTACAATACCTATACATGGTACTTATCTGGAAAAATACTTGACCTATGCAAATATACTCCCAGTACATGTAGAAATTGACAAGCATTACACACCAACTAATATGCATTTACCTATCCAGTGTACGTGTCTACGATAAACTAGTATATAACTTTAGCATGCGTATTACGATATACGAGGCAATTAACCTGTCTCAATACCTGACGATTTCAGTCATGGTGTCCCATGCAGACTAGGATGCAGCAGTTGCCGTGGTATGCGATCCCGTTAGTGACAGTACTGCATACCTGACATACCTGGCTGGACGTTGCCAGTGCATTGCTTCAGTCTGTCAGGCCATTCATCATATAACCACACCGGATTTGAACTCAAATACAAGTCTTGTCCAAGGAAATACAGACAACCGAATTGCATTCCTGAACAGTCTATTGAAGAATCGGTCTTCACATACGGCACATACTTATATTCATGGGCATGGAATAGATCAGAAGTAAGCTGTTGTTCTTCTGTACTCCACGTTGTCGTACTAAACATACGCCCACGATACTTTATCATGTCTATTTGAATAGAACTGCATAGCAGGGGTACGTCACTATTATGGTGATCACTAGTTGTCGAATATGTTTATTCTCTTGAACATTCACTTGATGCCTTGAATGAAAGAACATTTCACTAAGCAACACCCTGGTACAGGCTGTCAGTGACGAAGGTTTATTTCAAACAAAATGTGATGCCTACCTGTGGCTGACTCTGAGAGAAACGTCCATTCTGAGACGACGTTGACGACGACGAGGGTTTCCTCTGTAACGCCGTCGTCCGGACCTCCTCCATCTGTTTCTGCTGCTGCTCTCGCAACAGCTTCAACTCCTCCAGCCCTTGGGCACTAGCTTCCAACCTCGCCCTCATCCTCTCGTTGTCCGTCCGCCTGATAATGGGTACCCTGACACTGCCAGGGAGCTCACTGAGGGACCGGCTTCTCCTCATGACGGGCACCTGTCCGGGTGGGGCACCAGCCCGGGGGTTAAGATCCTTGGTTTGGTCTTTGGTCATACTTGTTGTCATGACGCCCTTACTGGGTTCTGGTTCACATATGTGTGACTGATCATACAGTCACTTCATGTGACCAATTATTTCAAAATGGTTATTGCAAGTTCCAAATGAAACGTCATCTACTGTAGGGTGAAACGTTCAAATATATCTACAGAACTCTTCGCCTCTTTACCACAAACTCCTATAATCATGTGCATTATCCAGACGTGACGGGGTGACGAACGATCAAATCATTGTGAACATCCGTTGTTACAGGAACACAAAACATGTCAATTTTTAAAAACCTGGTCTCCTTGGCAGGTGGAAGGCAGCGTCGTGTTCGGGTCCGGTTCATCAATACACAACCCCGGACTCAGATTATCACCTGACTCCTGGGACCATCTTCCTGTGCGGCTGCCAACTCTTTCCTCTTATACAACATCTGTTACATCCTCTATCGAGGTCTGTTCAGTCTCCGAGGGTTAACAAGTATCTCACAAACCACTGATAAGAATCACCGACAAATATGTACACTATGCCAGTAATTCAATCACGTCAAGATAAGCTATGATATAATCGAACAGTCATAGACTGTTCTTTGTGAATATAGATCCAGATTAAATAATACACATACGTAGTGTTTGCCACAGACTGTCAAGACAGAGACAGGTTTATACCACTACCGTGACTTACATATGTTTATGTGCCCCCTACAATGGGTAGACACCATCACAGGCAATCACAGGCGGATACGGGGTTGGATATTCCACGACATAAAGTTCAACCCAGCTCGTGTTTACCGCTGGGTCAGGTGAGAGAGACTGCATACATGAATCATTCCTTTTTTACCTACACACAAGCGCATGAAATTCCTTCAACACAAAAGGCGTTCCGTTGAACCACTCCAAATGATCTCGGGTACATGAATAAGTCGCTTTGACGTCATAGCTGGATTTCAGTCAGTGAAAAAATCCTTTCTTCGCATGTATGTAGTCCATTTCAGTACAGAGTATACTCACACTCCCAGCGCAATGCCTATTATTACTGTCCTTTCGAGTAAGTCAACCACAGACGTAGCTGATCAGCTGTTCTCCGCTCCTCTACCCACGTGTCGGAGGAGGGAGGCCCACTGCACAATTGCAAGCGCTACTGTTGCTAAACCCACACGCCCGTTTACTGAACGCCGTCTACAGCTTCATATCGAGACGAGTTCTGACTGCATTGGAGGACGGTATTGACACAGCGATTGGCAAACTGCAGCCCGCGACCGTCCTACACAACTGATGCTTAGCCGGGCACTGGAGTATGACTGGGCCTAATGTAGGTACCTCCAGCACACAACCCTGTCTCACTCCACCTTCGTTCTCGTCTTCGGCAGGACTCGCTTGGCGCTGTCTAGGCTACCTGTCAATTATTAACAACGAACCTCAATCCGGCCTATCACGTGAACTTGTTTAACAGCCACCCACTCAATATTAAATATTCGGGACATGTATTGGTAATTTAATATACTATCGATACCATAGACAGATTTTATTCACTATGGACGTTTCCAAAATAATTTTAATGACATATTAAGTAGATACTGTAAGTAGTCGTATATCTATCTTCTCCGACCTAGGTCTGTCACAGTACAAGTTCAGACACACTATGGTGGTAGTCACATGTAGATACCACTACAGAGATTAGATATCACAGAGTTTAGTCAAGTTTGTAATAAACAAACATCCTTAGGACCCTAGTTACCGGACCGGGCGCCATTATTACGTTCCCCTAAATACTCATTATTCAAGAAGTATCAATTTAGATATATTGATATCAATAAGTGTCTGTAAACCTACACTGTTGTGGTGTTACCTTAGTGTGTCTGTGTCTGTTGGTAATTGAACTCAAGGCATAGATACCGTCTGGGTGTTAGGTTTCCGGCGTCAGGAAGCGGTATTGTACTATAAACAGATGATCCGTTGTGGGTCGTGTGTCCTGTATACCTGTACACGAGGTCTTGGTTGGAGTAAACAGGTAGATACTGCTTTGAACCTGGCTATCTCGCACGACGAAATGTATATGAGCAATAATAATACAATAAACACACCCTCTATTGAGATGTCAAAACAACCCCCGCCTCCTCTCTCTTACCGTTGACCCCCCACCCTTTCTCTCTCTGTCTCACTCTCCCTTCCTCTCTGCCTCTGCCTCCTCCTCTCTCCTTTCTCTCTCCCTCTATCTCCGGGGTCGGTGGGTAGCCTAATGGTTAAAGCGTTGGCTCGTCACGCCGAAGACCCGGGTTCGAATCACCCACATGGGCACATTGTGTGAAGCCCATTTCTGGTGTCCCCCGCCAAGATGTTGCTGGAGTATTGCTAAAAGCGGCGTAAAACCAAACTCAGTCAGTCCTCTATCTCCCCTTTCTCTCTCTGCCTCTATCTCCCCTTTCTCTCTCTCACTGTATGTCTCTCTCCTTTTCATTCTCATTGCTCTCCCCTTTTTCTCTCTCTGCCTATCGCCCCTTTTTCTCCCCTTCCTCTCTCTCTAGCGTCTTTCATTGTTCCCCAAGCTTGTGCTTCAGGAATCCGCAGCTATCCACACTGGGTTAAGTTGGAACTATGTCCTTTCATATCCTGCAACCACCCCCACTGGGTTAATTTGGAAGTATATCCTTTAATATGATCAGCGATGACGCCACACGTATATACGTACAAACCAGATACCTGTCCGGCCGAGACTGTCCGCTCCAGCAACTGGGATGAATGTAGAGAGCTGTATCTACATTCCTACAGCTCGTCCTATTGAAAACAGACACAACCGAGGAAACGCCGAAATACCACGGCTAGGACCCTTGCACTCACTTACAACCACCTATTGAATAACCTTTATATTGGCGCACAACACGGGAACAATGAGCAGTTTGTTAACTTGTATTTCTTGGTGTGTACCTATCGTCCTTGTTTAATGGTAGCTTGGAATTAATACCTCATTAATCACTTGTCGTGTGTGCGTGTTTCATACACAGCCTTGTACCTGTTGATTGTTCAGCACACAAACCTATCGCTGATTGTCAGGTAGACGGCGTTTGCATGTTACGAGCAGTGACACTTACCGCCGTTATCTATTCTCACGTATATCCAGTTGGCTTGGGAGTAGAGCGGTATACCCGAGTTACCTCCCTTACACTGTGATTGATGGAGCTATCGACTCGCGGATCATAATTTCATTTGCGGACATATATTTTTTATCTCTTAAAACGGTTTGGGTCACGAGTATAAATTTATAGCGTTGCTTTTCTGCCCGTGGGATTCAGAATTCCTGTGGCATGAAGTCACCTAGGAATTTGATTGCACTGCAAACAGACATAGGAAAAACTGAAAGAGTAAACGAAATTATTTTTAAACCAGCTAAATTAAGTAGCTTTAGAGCGCCCAAAACCATACTTGCATAGTTAAACCTATACACATAATTAAACACGTACGAATTCAGTTTTTAGTGATCAAATAATATTGACAAAGAACGACCACGTTCCATAATCCTTGTTTACTGTTTCATTAAGCTGAAGGAAATTCTTTTAACGATGCAACTTTTTGTGTATGGTTAAGAATGTCAAAGAAAATATCATCTTGTCTACAGGGTTACATAGTGAGTTGAAGGTTAAAACCATTCCATCTGCTCAGGTGTTGCATATGGAACATATCCATATATATATATATGAGAGGTACCAGTGAGAGGTCAAGAGCTGATTGATGCGCGAGGAAAAATATACACAATTGACTTATTACAATGACTCTAGTCAGAACCGATATTAAGATGAATTTATTCATGACTATAACATCTACAATCATCATAAGCTGCACTGGGGCGGTGGGCTAACCAAGTGGTTAAAGTGTTCGCTCGTCACGCCGAAGACCCGGGTTCGATTCCCCACATGGGCATAATGTGTGAAGTCCATACCTGGTGTCCCCGCCGTGATATTGATGGAATATTGTTAAAGGCGGCGTAAAACTAAACCCACCCAGTCCCTCTAAGCTGCATAGGGGCGGTGGGGTAGCCTAGTGGTTAAAGCGTCCGCTCGTCACGCTGAAGACCCGGGTTCGAATCCCCACATGGGTACAATGTGTGAAGCCCATTTCAGGTGTCCAACGCCGTGATGTTACTGGAATATTGCCAGAAGCGGCGTAAAACTAAACTCAGTCAGTCTAAGCTGCATTGAATAGTATTTCAGTTAGTAACGATCTTAACAGTGTTTACCACCCCAGGGACAACCACTGCTCAGGGCATGGTGTTCATAATCAGCAAGAGTCTTGGCTCACCCAAAGATCACAAGATCACGGCACGCCCAAGGGACGCAACTCTGCACAACGATTTCAATACCTTAGATGATAATGATAATTTTAACATCTATAACTGCACCATCTAGTTATTATCATTACCATTGTTTTTGCACCCACTCATGCACGGGACGGAATTATGAGTCACACCATCATCATCATCGTCGTCGTCGTCATCATCATCATTGTCGTCGTCGTTGTTATCGTCGCCATTGTCGTTTTCGTTGTTGTAGGCACTGCTTAAGGACTGCTGAGCAAGATGGCAGTTTGGGTGTTGTCACAGCACAAAACAACGTGTTTTGATAAGCTGTTAGTGTAGATTCTATAGGCGTGCCATTGTGTTATATCATACGACTTGCACCATAGACAACGCGAGCATACCTTTGTGCTCAATCAGTTGGGCGTGTGTTGGTTTCCATTTATGACGTCACCGGATCAAACGCGGTTAATCGAATAAACAACTGCCTCAAATGTTCACGTATTACCACGTCCCTATATCCTGTCTTGTAGAACTTATTAAATTCACCTTTCGCGTATTATTGCTTTTGGTTGTAGTGGGTTATGCTTACAAAAGTTCGCAATGAATGCCATGCATGTCAGATTAATCGCGATCACTCTTAATGCAAGAGTATAAAACCAACATTTTCAAATCATTTAAAGGGCTAGGCTTGCGAAATTGAGAGTTTCATGATTTATTTAAGTCCTCTTAACCCCACTTTGTTTGCCTGCTCACTCAAACCACACAGGTGCATAGAATGATTACGTTATCTACAAGATAATTTTTTGTTTCACACAGTTAGACAACCACACTAGTTAAAACCGTGTTGTCAGACAGTGGAGTGGAGGATTAATTAGGACGATATGTACAGCTGTGGTCTGACATACCTAATTATAGGGGTATTATCAGGGAGGAGTAACCAACTAAGTGCACTTGTAATTGATAGTGTCTAACAGCTTCTAAATGTTTATTTCACTTTCCTTTTATCAATACAAGCAATGTACATTATAGTAAGCATTAACAGTATGATCTACCCTGAAGGTGGCTCCCGAACCATAGTGAGTATGATTTTACTCCGCATGTAGCAATACTCCATCAATATCAATATCGAACAGACCAAAGACCAAGCTTCAACTATTGAACCCATTTTGGAAAACGATCTGGCGAATGATCAAGCATTGCACCCATTTGACGAATCAATTAGACCAAACACCAGGTTCCACTTATTGTCCCCATGTGTGGAATCGAATAGACCAAGGATCAAACTTAGGGGAGACCGGGGTCAATTGTAACACTTTTTACTTAACTTCTTGTTGTTCGATCCTAGACGACCGCTCACAAAGCTAATCGGTACTAACTAGTACATTGGCTTCTTGGCTTTAAAGCTCAGTGTCGTTTCAAGTTCACTATCATGTCTTTACAAAGTTATTACGTATCAAATGCAATGACTACAAGTGTTACAATTGATCCCTAGCACGGGGTAACAGGTGGATGGGGCAATTGTAACAAAGAAGGTTCAAATGTAACAATTTGTTTATTTTCCAAATAAAATGAAAATAAAATGTGGAAAGATGTTATCTTGATCAGTTGAGGTGGAAATGGATTAACATTAAACTTTTATCACCATCGACATTTATAATGTTTTTCGTTTAAAATTCTTGTATTCGTATGCCTAAAAAATAATACAAAGACTAACACCAAAAACTTTCACTCGAGGCTAATACTATCAACATAACACTGAAAATGTTCTACTATGATAAACCTAGTAAAGAACTAACATAAAACCTTCATCATAATTGGCTTTATTATCATAACACAAGGGAAAATTACATGGGGCAATTGTAACACAGTGTTACAATTGCCCCTGTTGGCAGTAGCCATGTTTCATGCCACGTCACACGTTAACAACCTTGGGCTTCTCAAATATTTCTACTTCCAAATATGTCGTAATATCTAAATTTTACACTTGAAAAGTTAATTTCATACCAAACAACATTTACTGCATTAAGAACGCTTTAATACGTTTTGTGAAAAATTTACTTACCTATGTGAAAAAACGATTTTTCCTC